GCAGCAGCAGCAGCACTCCACCCATGCCCCGCCCCAGTCGCCCTCTCCCGGAGCAGCAACCTATCCGCCTGGGCATCTCCACTCCCTGATGGCACACTTTGTGTCCGCTGACGAGATGAGTTCGCTTTCGGTTTCGAGTGATGTAAGCAGTGTCGCATGTGGTGATGATCTTGGCTTTGCTTTGTCTGCACAGAGTTGCGAATACAGTCCTGGTAGGGAGGTATTTTGGTCTGATAGCGGTGCAAGCAACCATTTTGTGAGTAACAGCTCCAAGATGTACAACATCTCGCCTGTCCCCCCCGGCAAAGAATTCATCAAAGTAGGCAATGGTGCTTATTTGCGCGTGGAGTGCGTAGGTAGTGTCAATCTGGCATTTCACATGGCAGGAGGTCGATCGGGGGAAGCGGATTTCTGTGTCCAATTGACAGACGTGTACGTAGTACCAGGGATTTCGTTCAACTTGTTCTCTCTGCACCACACGCAGAAAAAGCACAGGATAATGTTGGATGAGAGGGGTGTGCACCTTTTCGGTGGTCGGCTTAGTTTCGCATACTCGGATATCGGATGCTCTCTATCGGCCACCCGCTTGCCTCCCTCGTACCGCGACGGTGATGTAATCCCCTCTACCGTTGTCCCTCCCCCCGTTGTCCGCCAAGCGTCTCCGCCTGGTGTTGGTACTGGCCTTTTCGCGCAAAACCCCCCTCCCCCTTCTCAGATTTCAGGATCGGGTGCAGGATGCGGTCCGAGTTCCAGCTTCCCGTCCATCGGTCCCGCCGGTGTTGTACCTTCGGCTCCGAGCTTCCCGTCCATCGGTCCCGCCGGTGTTGTACCTTCGGCTTCGAGCTTCCCGCCCATCGGCGCTGCCGGTGTCGTACCTTCGAGTTCGAGCATCCCGTCCACCACTTCCGGTGTAGTACCTCCGAGTGATGCTTCCACGCCTATCGATGTTGATTTAGTGTCTCCGTCGATCCGAGATTTTCAGCCTGCCCTAGCCGCAGCCATCGCCTCATCCGACGTCCTGTCCCCCTCAGTCGTGAACCCGAATGTGTCGCGAGAGATAGAGATCATGCCCCTTGAGTCCCAGGATAATTTGCCTTTGATGGACATGAGTATGTTCTTGGATGTAGGCTTGATGAACGGACAGGACTCGGTCCCGCCGGGTGACTTTTATCCCGACCCATTAGGCGTATGTGAGTCCGTGAAGCCCCCCGTTGCGTTCGCTGTGATGCAAGATGAGTTGGACGTGCTCAGAGACTTTGTTGTCGAGTGCCGTGTGAAGCAAGATGTAGGTCCCCCCTCCCTTTCCCATGCTTTGGCGATTATCGCCCCCGGTGGTCCAGCGTTCACTGTAGGAAAACCCACGTCCACCATCGACATTAATTTGTTCCACGCTTCCACCGGCCACGTGAATGAATTCTTGATGAGGGAAACCGCAAAGCAGCAGGGTGTTCAATTGGTGGGGGAACTGCAGCCATGCGTCGGCTGCATCGAGGCGAAGGGCAGGAGGGCCCCGGTGCCGCGGCGTGGAGTCACCCGCGCGGCGGTACCGTTCGGCAAGGTGCACATCGACATCACCGGCCCGTACTCTGAGGCGTTCGATGGTTCTCGTTACCTGATCATGTTCGTGGACAGCGCGTCGCGGTGGCAACGGGCGTACGGCATGCGGGCCAAGAGCGACACCCTGACGTACACGCG